AGAGATACAATATGGAATAGTAATCGTCAGTCGATGGTTATTGAAGAAGATTATTTTGTTTATGACAAAAAAAAAAAGTAAATGTTAATTTATGGGGTCAACCTAAAGGTAGGAATGATAATACTTTTATTATATAGAAGTGAGTCAATATAAATGCACTAGATCTTTTTTAGTAAAATATTTTTATAACTTTAAATGAATATTATTTGATAGGAATATATTGAAATTTAATAAAAAAGTTATTTTGTTTAAAGTTTCAAAAAAATTTACTTATAAAAAATCTGGTGCGTTTCAATTGGCTTACCACTATTTATTTAAAAACAGATAGTCACAGAATTTTTTTTTGTTTTTTATTATCTCTGTTTAAAGGAATCAAATAGGTTCTTAATAAAAGAGGATTATAGCATGATGATCTAGTATTAGAGTGTGTTTTATATAAGAAAAAAGAGACAAATACTAATATTATAGACTGTTATGCACATCGATTAATAGCCAATCAACCTGATTTTCTTGCAGAGTGAGATCGAATTCAAATGAAAATAGAATCCAAAGGACATAAAGTTATATTTTATCTGAAGTTTCATCCTGAATTCAATTATATCGAAATGTACTAGGGAGCAGCCAAAAAATACACCTGATCACATTGTGAATATTCATTACCGAAACTTAAAAAGTTAATTATTCAGGCATTTGATTCTATTTCTATAGAGAGAATTCGTTCCTTAGCTAGACTATCATTTAGATGGATGGATGCTTATCGGCATAAGTTAAAAGGTAAAGCAGCTGAATATGCAGTTAAGAAAAATAAAAAGCATAGAATAATCAATGAAGAAATTATAAATTGGATTAATAATAAATTATTAAAATAAAAGTGAGAGGCAAAAATACTTATCTTGTTTAGTTACTTAACTTTATAACTAAAATAACAATTTATTATTTGTTATTAAATAAATTCATATTGGATTTTGGCGTTAGACCTCTAGATAATTAGATTTCTTTAATGTTTAAAGTTTACTCATCACTAAATAAAAGCTGAATTCTTTTATTGAATAACAGTTTGATTGAATAACAAGTCAAATACTTTCGTTAATAATGTGTCAAATTTTTTTGTTAAATAACAAATCAAATACTTTCATTAATAATAAGTTAAATTTTTTTGTTATCAAATACTTTTGTTAATAATGAGTCAAATTTTTTTGTTAAATAACAAATCAAATACCTTTATTATATTAAGTAAAAATTTTTTTTTAAATAACAAGTTAAATACTTTCATTGCATAACAATTTGAATACTTTCACTGAATAATAGATTGAATATTTTATATTCCTGCTATTTAATAACAGGCCCAATATACAATAGCTGCTCGATACATAAGTATCAAGGTGCTTTTGTCTCGAATCATTATTACCTGATCGAACATGTGATCACATGTTTGTTCTTGAATCTGATCAGTTATGAGAGTATAATATATTAATTAGTTTCGATCATTATTGTTGACATAAGATAATTGAGTATAAGGTATTAAGTCATAGTATATCTGGGAATGGAAATAGTCAATTTTGTCTTTTTTGCGAACTCGACTTTTGTTCTGGTTAAATCGACCTTTTCACCCTGCCTGAAATGCTTATTGATAGGTAATTTGAATGTCCTGCTGTAGTGTTGTCAAATGTCTTGCATATTAGAATTGTCGCATCTATTATATTATTTATTATATCGAGTAATAAATTATATAATAAAAGGAGGTGACAATTACCAATATGCAAAACATTTGACAACACTGCTAGGATGGTAGCCAAATAAATTGCATGACTGGATGTTATCGTAGTAGTAGTAGAAGTTGATAATATGGTCTATTGTAACAATAGCTATACTGAAAAGAAAATAACATATTAGAATGACAGTCAAAAGTGAAGTAATAAAGTTAAAAAAAAAAACTGTTGTTTAAAAGAATCAATAAGTTACAAAACTTATTCTTTAATCTGCTAATGCACAAATTTAAATCTTAGCCAATCAGAATGAATAAAAAATTTTATCATGTTTATGTATAATGATAATGTTTTACTATAAAATTAACACTTTATAATATTGAATATCTTATACTATCTGACAAAAAATTAGTGCTTTATAATAGATTGGATATCTTTTATTACTTGGCAAAATTGGCATTTTGAATAAAGGATTAGATGTCTTTTAATATTTAGTCAAATTGGCACTTAATATATAGATTGGATGTCTTTTAATATCCAGTACCATATAACATTTTAATATATAATGATAATTTTGATGATCCAAATTGATTTGTTTATTATATTTTAAGTGATTTAAAAAAAGGCCCAATTATACAGATTAGCTTATATGCAATTACAAGCTAATAAATATACACAAAAGAATTTATTATATATGTTTAAAGAATATATAAATACATATAAAGTAAAATCAATATAATATTTATTACTAATAAATCCAAACTTATTAAAGAATCTATAAGATATAAATTTAAGCCTTAATTACAGTTGACAAACCTAAATGCATTACAAAAACTAACAAATTTAAATATTAAACCCAGATCTTTGATTATTAAAGAAGCTTGTACATATTCAAATCAAACAGTTAATAACAAAAGTTTATCACAAAAAAGATCATAACTCTTTCTGATAATCATTTGAATCAAACTTTTAAAAAGCCAAACTACAGTAAAATAATATAATTAGTATATTAAACTTGATAAAAAATTTTTTAGAGTATTGTATATATATTGTTGGACATTGAAATAGAGTTATAGCCTTGTGGTAATAGTTTAAAGAGTACTTTGAGACTATAGAAGAAGTAGTCAGTAAAAAACAAGATTTCTTATTAAGTAAACAACAAAGTTAGATATATTAGTTCTATACAACTGTAAAACCTACAAAGAACATTCACAAGGGTTTAGAACTTACAAAAGCTAAAAATTGGTTTACTTAGCACTTTCATTTTTTTTTTGAGAAAAATTTTGTAAAAGTGGATAATTTAGTTTAATCTCTTCTAAAGATCAACATGTAAAATCACCAAAACAGTCAGCAGTATTTACTTTTTAAATAGGATTGTTGATAATATAGATCAAAAATAATACAGTAATACAAACATAACTATACATATGCCTCAAGCTGCTGAAAACCTGTCAAACACTGCATTCAGACTAACTAGTATTTTATACTGACCCTTTACAATAAAGTTAAAGTTTTTTTTTTATAAGCAGTCATGTTAGTGCTTTATTAAGATTTTTGAAACTACTACTGTAATTATATAAATTTACCTAACAACTAAGCCTAGCATCACCTGACTACCCTAATGGCACCTAAATGCAATCTGCTGTATTACTTTTAGCAGAAATAAGCTGCTTGTCTAACTACTTAAAGTCTATAATGAAAGGGTCTTTCCCCTTTTATGACAAGCTTGTTAACTGTTTTCCTAACTTCTTTTTTCATTCAGTTTTCTTTTTCTTTTGTTTTCTTTTTCTTTTCTCTATTGCTTGCTGATTAGGTTTTCTTTTTTTCTTTATACTTGACTTTTCTTTTCCCCTTAGTCTTTTTTTTTTCTCTTTACTTGTTATTCCTTTTTCTTTTTCTCATACATTGACCTTCTCACAGCGAATTCTCCAGATTTGTTCGTAGAATGTATTCTATGTTGTTTTTGCTACTATGTTTGCAAAGTGTTGTCTTGTGTTGTTCTTAGGATTAGGCCTTTGATTAGTGCTTTCCTTAGTTCTATTTCCTCTCATTCTGTTGTCCAAAAAGTGCTATATATAATACTAGAGGTGGGACTTGTTTCTTTTCTTCTTCTTTTAAGCTGTTTCATGCTGTTGTGATAGATACTTTCTGTATCCTTTTTCATAGATTTGCTTGTCCCTTACATGATGCCAAATGTTCTTGTGTTTCTTTAACTTTGTTTTAGCAAACTTGGCATTCTGCTGTTGTATATATATCTGGCCTTCTTCTATTAAGTTCTTCCAATGTTGGGAGTTTGTCCAATATACATTTCATGAAAGCACTTCTTCTCATACTGCTTCTTCTTGTTAGGCAGTGTACTCCTTTAGATGAATTTAGCCTTCTCCAAAAGTATGTCCAATCATATATCATTAGTTCTTCTGGCTCAATATTCTTGATCACTATTGTTTCTTTCTACTCTACTCCTATTCTGGCATTTGTTACTATTTTACATAGAAGTCTTGCCGATATGTCTATTTACTTGTTTTTCCACTCTAGGCAGTACTCTATCTCTTTGTGGCTAACTTCTTCTGAAAAAATTATTTTTCTGCTTAATGTTCCCTTCTTTGCAAGGCTATCAGCTTTGTTATTCCATCTATTTTTACTATGACTTTTAACTTTGACCTACTCTATCTGTATATTCTTTGTCTTTACTATATCTATTATCTTCAATATCCATAGTGTGTTTTTTTTTTTAAGAACATCATTTCTATCTATACCCACTAATCCTTTACTAATATTTCTAATTGCTACATTGCTATCTGTAAATATAACTAATTTTTTATCTTTTGGCATTGTTAGGATTGCTTCCCATATTGCTAACACCTCAGCTGTAATAGATGTAGGCTATCCTTTTACTCCTAATGCTACCTCTTCTTCTGACCAATTTTGTGCTTCAGCTATTTGTATCCAACCTATACCCATGTTTTTTCCTGTTGCTTCTTCTTCATTTCTTTTATTTGCTGCACCATCTGTATATATCATATAATTTTTTTTGTCTCTTAATATATTTCTTCTTAAGACCTCTACTAGCTCTTGACTAACATTCTCCCTTAATTTTTGTTTTCTAATTAATTCTATTTCTAGGCCTTCTAATATCTTTAGTCCTATTAGTTTCTGTTCATTTTTCCTTAGTTCTTCTGTTCTTGGGTGTTCTATTAGTTGGTTGGTAGCTACCTTAATTATATTATTGTTCTTCCCTATTAGCACATCTGAAACTGTGTATATATTATTGTTGATTCTTATCCAATATCAGCAGCTATTTTCTTCTGTCTTTTCGTCTCTTGAACATCTCTTGCATTTGTCAATTTTTGTTATTAAGTCGTTTTCTATATTATGCATTTGCTAATGTTCTATTAGTAGCTTCTTTTTCTTCTTTTTAACCATTTGCCTATTCTCTGTTACACTATGTATTATCCATTCTTTTTTTCTTCTATCCTTTGACAAGGTTCACCACTTGATCTTTATTGCTTGTGTATTGTGTCTGTTTGTTTTAAATTGTTCTTTAACTTTTCTGCTTTCAGTTCTGTTAAGCACTTTTGTCTCTATCATTTTGAACCACTCTGCCTTTTTGCTCTTGCTTGACTGATTCTGGTAGGTCTTGAATTGCTGTCATGTTATTAGTCTTTCTTTTTTTGTATCAAGTAGTTGATTTAGGTATATAAGTTCTGCTTCATTTATTTTGGGTCCACTTTTTTTCTATAGCTGTGGTTCTACTAGTTCAATTACTCTAAGACCATAACCATTTGTTGTTCATAGTTCAGTTTCTGTATTTATATTTATTTCTAACTCTTTTGCTTTGACTATCATCAAGCAGGCTAGGTTGTTCTTCCAACATAACTTATCTTCTGGCAGTTTTTTTACTTTCTATATGTCTTTTATCAAACTTGCTCTTTGACAACCTTGTGTTATGGGGTGTAGTAACCTAGTGAAGTGATCAGGTTGTCAACCCCCCAAGTGGTAGATTGAGTGTTCAAATCCCATTGATGATGAAAATTTGGATAATTACCTATGTAATATTCGTATTACAGCAACTGTTACTAACAATTGGGTTAGGATACCTGTAATGGCGGTCACACCAGCATGACTGGCAGGTCATG